GAGTCAGAAAGCCTGGGGGTAGAATCTGCATTTTTAATAAGTTCCCCAGGTGGTTCTGATTCAGGGTCCTTAGGCCACAAGTATGAACACTATGACATGGTAGATAAGGGCAGGTTGAGATGAATGAAATGGTAACTGCTCCTTTCTCCTCCGCAGAAGGTTGCAGAGGTGAGCCATTGCAGCAGAGGCGGAAGCTTGCTGGACAATCCTGGGGTATATGGCACCACAATTCCTGTCGAATGCAGCTGCTGGTGGCCTTCAAGGACCCAGCAGGTACCTCGAGAGGTCCTAGCCCTGGACACCAAGCCCTGAGCTACGGGGTTGCACCAGGGGCTGGGGATTGGCCTGCCTGGAGCCATCCACATTCCTGCCTGTGCCTGGGCACAGAGAAGGGGTGACTTTGCTTAGTCCACAAATATTTACTGAGCTCCTGCTCTGAGCCAAGCACTGAGGTACACAGGTGAGCAAAACGAAAAAAATCCAGGGCTCAGGGTAGAGGGAACAGCAAGTAAGGCCCTGAGGCGGAAGTGTGCCTGACATCTGGCACGTGTGAGAAGCAGTGAGGCGCAGCTGGGGTGCAGTGAGAAAAGGGAGCAGGGCAGGTTACCCAGGGCCTTGCAGGCCATGGAAAGGACTCTGGGTTTTACTGTGTCTGGGATGGGAGCCACTGCAGGGCTCTGAGCAGAGGAGACATGAGGTCTGATGTAGGTTTTAATATGACTCCGGTTGTTGCATGAAGAACAGATTGACGAGAGGAAGTGGGAAGCGCAGAGACCTGCACTAACCCGGGAGAGAGAAGGTGGTATCTTGGCTTCTACATGGGGCTCAGCCTGGGACCAGAAACTGGATTCAAGGACCAACTGGGGTTAATGTCAGGGCTTCTTTGGGTCTGGGATCAGAGGTCCGTCTGGAGAGAATATTAAGAGTCATGCTTGGCCCGGTCGGTGTGGGGGCCTGACTAAACACCAGTTTCCTCTGCAAGAAGCTGAGCACATGGCTATAAATAGGAGGCACACGCAAGCACTTTTGGACCCACACATGCATCCCACCAGGGCATGGTGGGTCTCTGGATAACCACTGATTCCTTCCCACCCCATCCAAGTGCCCCCACAACAGCTGGGCTGTCACCTCTGGGTCAGAGCTTTGGCCTTGCCTATCCCTCAGCACTTCTGTCCTAACTCCCCCTCCCCACCAGTTCCAGGCCATCCCCTCCCCCGCAACTCCGCCTACTCCACCAAACCCACGTAGCTTGGCAGGACAGCACTGGGCTTCTCAAGAGCCAAATGGTTTTGTGGAGAATGGGAGACAGCAGATGTTCCTTGGGTTTCCTGCCAGAGCAGCGGAACCATACCGGACACTTCCACATCTACTGCCCAATGCAGCACGGGACAACCTCGGCCTTCAGCCAGGCCTGGCCCAGGAAGGGGACAAGGGAGTGGCTGCTAAGGCCTGGGTCCAGATGGAGCCCCTCCTTGGCCTAGAAAATTCTACGCCAGCTCAAAAACAGTTCTGCTTAACGCCACCAGCACCAGAGCCCAGCAGAGCTCTGAATCCACAGCCCTTCCGGGTTCACTGGACTAGAGCCAGAAATGGTCGTGAGAGTTTAGTCTCTTCCTATTTTATAGATGAAGGGACCGAGACTCAGGATGGTTACATAGCTGCCAGAGAATCAAATAAGAGAGGCCTGGTGAGTCCTTCTAGTCTAGCCTCTCTGTGCACTCAAGGTCACCGATGCCCCAGGCAGGCCTGGACTTGCTCGAGGCCATGTCACCTGGCCTAGAGCTCTCCTTTCCCACTCTCCCTTCAAGACTCCTCACCCACCAGGTTTAGGGTCTGCAGAGTCTGCCATGAAGCCTGCTAAGCATTGGCAGCAGAAGTTCACAAAGCAGACCACCCATCTGCTCGTATTTCTGAGGAAGCGGGGGGCGAGGGGCAGCCCATGGTGAGAGCAGGCCCCTGGGAGCCCTGGGCTGTGGATAGAGGGTCTGCAGGCTGGGGGCCCTTGCCATTGTCCAGAAGACTCACAGCCTGAGGTGGAGGATGAGGCTTCCTGTCTACCCAAAGCTCAGCCTGAGAGATGACAAGCAGTGATTATGAAGTCACCTGTTCCCTCAGGCACCCAGCTCTTACTCCCATCCTTTCTCATGAGCAAGTGGGGATCCGTCACACCCGTGTCATAAATGGGGGAAATTGAGGCTCCGAAAGCGGCCCTTGCTGAAAGCCATCCTGCCTGGTAATGGTATGAACCTGGGCTCAGGTATCCTGACCTCCAGCCCAGCTCTTCCCAGAGTGGGGGCAAGGGGATGGGGTGGCACTAGAATGGAGATAAGGCTCTAGATGCATAATCACTCTCTCTGTTCTAGCAAAGCTGCCAGTGAAGACTCAGCCCATAGGCCCTGACCTCCGCCCCCAACTCTGGACCCAGGAGAGGGGCTGGTGGACTCAGGAACCTACTGGCTAACATCTATCTGACGGAACTGCTCAAAATGCATAGTTCCTGCCACCCCCCCCCACCCCCGCAAGAAAATCACTCTGCTAAAGAACACAATGTTTGCTATCATACCTTGTAGTCCAGGAACCAAGGAATCCTATATATCGTCCAGGGAGTGATAATTGGTGATGTCCAGCCTTGTTTAACATGCATATACCCTTACCCATTGATACCATTTTCTGAAATCGATCCCACAGATAAATGCCCAAAGCTGTAGCTGTTTGGAATAACACAGAAATAAAAACAATGGACACGCCTACGAGCAGGGAATGTGTTAAATAAGAGCTGTACATCCATGGAGAGGAGCGTTATGCAGTCATTCAAAAGCGATTAGAAAGCTCCACATGTACCAGTACGGAGCAATTTCTAAGATATGTTGTTAAGGAAAAAGAAAGCAAGACATTGAATGTTATAGTATAAAATGGGGGGATCCACACACACACGACCATATGGGAACCTACAGAGTTCTTTCTGAAAGGATGTACAAGAAACCATCAGCAAGCAGGGGCTGCTTCTGAGGAGGGGACTGGAGGCGGGGCGGGGGAGGGGTGCGCAGATAGAAGGGAGTCTTAGAAATGTTTTAATTTTTACCATGTGCAGATGTGGATCTGTATTTTTGATGACAGTCAGGAGCCCTGGGCTCCAGTCCCAGCTCTGGGCCAGAACTCCTGAATGCCCAAGCCACCCTCCCTTCCCCCTCCTGGGAGCACCTGTGCCAACCAGGAGTCTAGGAGGGAGGAAGCAGGGAGGCGGTGAGAGTGTCTGGGTAGGGAGAGAGCCTGGGATCAATGATTTACAGGCCCCTGGGACTCTGGAGCTAAAGGGGAAGTCCAGGCTCCTGGAACAGGTGTCTGATGGGGGCCACCGCCCCCAGCTACCTAATGAATAACTCTCTGGGCTAGATGCTAGTGCCAGTCGGTGGTGGGAGGGCGGGGAGCCCCGGCTTTTTAGGAGTGAGCGTAGCGGGGAGAGCCTTGGATGAGTGACCCAAATGAGAGGGGTTCTCTCTGCTCTGGCATTGAGACTTAAGGAATGTTTCATCCATGTGCACCAGACTGCCGTGGAGGTAGTGAGTTCCCTGTCCCCGAAAGTGTACACAGTGGAGGTCCTGGGAAGTTACAGTCTAATGGTTCCAGCAGCCTCACAACTGCCCGGGGGAGCTTTTTAAAAGAACAGATTCTAGCCCAGAAATTCAGATTCAGTGTGGCTGAAATGGGGCTCAGGGATTTGATATCTGAATAACTCTCAGGCGACACTGCATGTGGTTGTTTGGGCAAGCGGACCTCTGGGGTTGTGCAGTACAACTTCTCACTGGCTGAGTGATCCAGGACAATCACCTCTGAGCCTCATTTCTGTATCTATGAAATGGGGATAATTATTACTCTACTAATGGCCATGGCCATGTATCAGGCACTCTGTGTACACCTCTCAACAACCTGTGAAGTTGTGCAACTGTTATCCCTATTTTAAAGGTGGGGAAACTGAGGCTCAGAGAGGCCCACGCATCTGGCAGGTGAGATTTAACCCAGGTCTGTCCAGCCTCAGAAACAGCATTAGAACCTATCTCACAGTGTAAGGTCTCCAGTAATTATCTCCACCCCTGGGGTGCACAGGGATCACTTGAGATGGATGGACAACACTTAGCACAGGACCTGGCATGTAGTAGGTGCGTGGGAAAAGGCCG